AATAACAATAACAATCACAATAACAATAACAATAACGATAATGGTACGAATAGTAGTATAGTAGTAACAATACTCGTAATAAGAACACCAAGCGTAGTAGTATGATTTGGGATAACAAGAACAGGAACAGCAAGAAGAGAATCACCAGAATAATATTTGTAGAGTTTGAAACATCTTGTTGTTTAAGCCTCTAGATGTGGAGCGGTTTAGGGTTGAGGGTTCAAGGGCATGGATCATAGGGCGGTGTGTCAAGCCCATATCGAAAACAGGGCTCTAAAGAGTAGAACATCATTAGGACAGACTCTATCTTTGTGGTATACAACATACGGTGACACTAAGGTAGGCATTGGCACCCCTGCGATGCACATACCAAAAGGGGCCGACGCATCGCGCAGCTCGGCGCATGAGAGATCCAAGGTTTTATTAAGCTTAACTAATGTAGTAGGAGCCTTAATAATCAGAACAGGGTTTGGGCGTCTAGTATACTACAAATATAATAAGGAACTCCAAAATAATGTAGGCACGTATTAATTAAGGCCCTTATATTAACTCATCACCTTCCAAGTCCTCGCGGTTTTCAAAAGAGCATCATGCTCTGCAACATCGAAACTCTGCTATATCGAAACCTGAACCGCGCCGAAAAAACCTCAAACCTGAGGGTAAAGAACTCTCAGCTCAACCGCGACCGCGCTTTTCCCAAGAACCTCCACCCGAACTCCTCAAAACCAACCCCTCCAGTCGAACCCTGCAGTTCCTGAGACGTAAGCCCCGAACCTGCACACCTAAACCATCCGCCCGGAAGGCTTATAGGGTTTAGGGGTTTAGGGGTTTAGGGGTTTAGGGTTTAGGGTTTAGGGTTTAGCTCTAAGCCCCACACCCTGGCCCCTGAACCCAAAGAACTCCGCCGGGCGACAAATTGCCCACTAGCACATCGCAGGTTTCGCCGCCATTTTGGCACGGCTCCACGAACATGTGGTGTGCAGTCCTTACGGGCTTTGAGTCCTGAAGAGCTTGAGGCTTATCAACAACTTATCACACATGATGACATGCTGCCAGCTAAGAGCATAACATCCTTTGTCATGGCAATTCTCTGTGACGAGCTGCGATCTGTTGGCCACATCGAAACGATAGTTCAATATCAAATTGGAATGGGCTTTTGGAACCCTGCGGAATAGCATTCCCAAGGGATTCAGAGAAAAGGCTACTATCGCACCTGCGCCTTCCCACCGCGCATTTTCGCCTTTGAGGGACATGCTTTCATGACGTATACGTGCAACACCACGCAAGTCTTCCATTGTAAAATATAGTGAGTACACGGGACGAAAACTATTCACTATCATGCGGCGCGGCTGGTATCTCCAGAAGAACGTAAAGCAAGGCAGGCGTCTGGATGGCCCTCAGCAGCGTGCTGGATGCGATGAAATGGAGACCTCGACAATTCGCGATTTGAGTGTCACCTTACAACCTCCCACAACCCTGATCCCTGCTTCTCAAGCTGCCTATGGGCCCCAATGCACATGGCATGGGAGCAAGGATTGCTCGAAGTCAGGGTTTCCCTGTCAGAGCCTACCATCTGTGGTCGACAGCACTTGTGTCCAGTCACATCACGGCATGCTTGCAAGTCATCACAGCCCCAGATCTCTGCAGCACGAGGAGCGGATGTTCCGCTCCGCCAGCCATCTGAGAAAGGCACGCCCGGCCTGGATGGTTCCGGGATTTGACATGAAGCTCGACCCCGACAGGTGCTTGATTCTCCTGGTCTTAGGGTTTAGGGTTTAGGGGGAATAGCACAGACATGCACAGACTGTGGCGGTAGATGCACTGTGACAACCCTGAGCCCGACAGGGACTGCACGGAGAGGTGGCTTTTATCACTCTGGCAACCTCCGGTGAGGCAAGATGCGGGATCCTGTTGTCCCACATGCCTCAAACAAAAACCGCTGAAAGATCCAGACTACAGCCAAAGTATGGCAAGACCCCAATCAAGTTGAAAGGCTGGGTTTTGAAGAAGCAAGTGAAGAGGATTTCGGACCAGCGGCATTCTCTGACTGTTTCATGGAGCAGTCAGTGATCAGCGGGTCCAGAAGCAAATGATGCAGCTTGGTCTCCTGACGTTGCTGCTCTTGGTGGTTCAGCGGCTCTTGTGTCCCTTAAGACAACACCGTATTGGATCCCCAGGTAGTGTTCCGTGTTATTGGACAGCTTTGGCTTTACTGCGACTTGTATCCCTAACCCTAAACCCTAAATCCAACGTTTGAGGGCATGGGGCTTTCTCTTTGGGGTTTTGTGTCCTTGGGATCCTAGGGCGAATCACCTCTGACAGCAATCTTGCCTGGAATACCTGGTGTCATAAAGGTTCTGTGTTAGGACCAGGTTTTGCATCATAAAGCAAGTCTTGGGTTGTCTCTCGGTTCAGGATTGTGGAGGCTGCAAACTCATCAAGTGCCGTCGCTGGCCAAGGCTCAAAAGAGGTGCCGTTTGCAAGGCGCACCTGCAGGCCATATCGGATTTACGGTAGGTGTTCAAGGCTTAAGGTCTTCTGATTGCAGTATTGAAATACAGTGCTATTGCTATTAATACTATTGTCCAACATGGAGATATACTGTTGACACCGTCAACCAGTTCGCCGCTTGCCGCCCCCTAAACCCCAACCTCAATATCCACACACCCTGAAGCATCGAGAAAAGGCTCGAATAGGCAGTGTACGCATGGAGTACTATGAACCTGATACGACGGCTTCAACGACAACCACGACGGCAAAGACCAGCACAAGTACGGCTGGCACTGTGCCCCAAAGCCAACAGAATACTTAAAGGATCATGGGACTTAGTAAGTAGGGTTAGAATTAGGGTAACTATACTTATAAACTTATAACCCCAATTAGCGGACTTATAACCTTACTTACTAAGTCCCATGATCCTCCAAGTACCCCTTCGAGGCCTTCACCTTGCAGTCCTTGCCGCCTGGAGGTCCTCAGCTTCGGATCTGAGGGAGGACAGAAGCCAATTGGGGGGCGGCCGGCATTGCAGCTCGGGTCAGGCGCAGTGAGAGGTTTCCTTTCATATACATATGCATCCTATTACACATGGCGCAGATACCAACACGCAAACGGGGGGGAAGAGCGAGAGAGGGGAAGAGACAAAGAGAGAGCGAGCGACGCACACCAACAAGAAACAGATAGACAGACAGATAGATCGTTGGTTAAATGGACAGTTGGATATTTGAAGCACTGGGTTCAGGAAGCTGGAGTCCAGCGGCGGGAGTGGATGCCGAAGGTGGCGTCCAGAGTCGCATCGGACGCGTCGGGCAGCACATACTTTGGCCTGGGCGTTCTGCAGCTAGCAAATTTGGGCTGTCTAACATTGGAGCCTTAAAAATTGCTGTAATAATTAGATTGGGGTACCTTTAAAGCAACTTTACCGGGATTTCTAAAAGGCTGACTCCAGATGCGTGAGGGGAGCTATAAATAAAGGCTCGAACCCCGGAGTTCTGCTGACCCCCCACATCCGCATGAAACCCTCAAGCCTCAGCCATGCAGGGTTTAGGGTTTGGGAATAAACCCAAACCTCGAACCCCCAACCCGAAACTCCCTGTTTCAGTGGTAAACCCTACGCGGTCCAAAACCCCTGCTGGCAAAAATGGACCCTTTGCAATCCAAGCTAAGTGCGACTCAGCCACAGGGCTTGCCTTAGAATGCAAGGCGGAAGAGTTTGGTGTAGTTTAGGGTGTTGAGTATAGTGGTTATAAGGTTTTGTATTAAACCATTCACTGCTCGATTATGGCATAGGCTGTGCAGCACAGGCCACGTAGGCAACCTGAGCCTTAAACCTTAAAAACCTGGGGCATCTACAAGGCCCACCACGAATCACTGTACTGTAAATCCCGCCAACTCCCTGAACAGACCCATAAAGCCCCTCAAAGTCTTGTGCAACCTGAAAGCCTCGAAGCATACAAAATTCCCGCAGAAGCCATGCAGAACCCTGCGCCACCTTCCAACTGCACTAGTCAAAAATCCTTCTGAAAACCCCAACCCCCTTAAGATTCTGACTCCCAGGCCAAGCAACAGTGCCGCCTCGAGTTCTGGTAGCAGTCCAGCCTGCCGCCATTTGTCGCAGCTTTGGCGAGTTTACCGTAACTTTACCCACATAACAACCCAAAAAAACTGAGTCTGGTGCTTCTGCGTTAGAATCTGCCAACTACACTCAATGATTGGTCCCCACGATATCGAAATCTTAAGAACTGGAGGGTTTTGTGCTTGTTGTGTGTAGGAAGCGGAATCTCGGCGTGTATACATATATATATATATATATATATGTATGTATGTATGCGTGTGGGTGTAATTCTAGAGTGTATATATGCGCTATACTGGGATGTACTTATGTACATATGAGTATACTTCATCTTAATTCTACAACAACTTCATGTTTATATCTGTGTATTTACCTACATTTATTTATCTATTTAATAATTCACCCCTTTACTTACTTATCAACTTATGTATTTATCTCTTTATGCGTGTACATATATGTAAACGAATGAACAAAGGTAAGTTTGCATAGATATGTACATACCTGCACTTGTGTGTTTGCTCAATCATTTATTTGTGTGTGTGTGCCAACAAGCTCACTGACCTACTTACCTACTTGGAGGATCATGGGGCTTAGTAAGTAAGGTTATAAGTCCCTTAATTGGGGTTATAAGTATAGACCCTAATTATAACCCTACACTGTACTTACTAAGTCCCATAATCCTTTAAGTACTACTATCAGAAGGGCCTCTTAGGGTCTCGGGCTCTTATGGGTGTCTTCTGATGCTTGCGTCCGAAAGGCATCCATGGCATCAGTCCCCGATGTCGCTGTGCAGGCGTTCCTCGAGGGTTTACAGGATTTAGGGTTCGAGGATTTAGGGCGTTTCGGAATGCCGGGGTTCCGATCGAAGCCTTACTACCTAACTATCAACAGGGCCCTGGTCATGGAATGAGTCCTAGTTCAGTAGGAATTGAAGGGAGCACCTTTCGCTGTGCTTCGGAAGCTTGAATGCGCTTCGGTCGGCGCTAATACCCTTCACAGCAACCGTGTGGAAGCTTCCCTCAATTTTCGGTCCTACGCATGAACTATACCCATTTCTGTGTATGTATGCATGCATGCACATTGGTGACGGTGAAGAGCGTTATGTGTGCATGCGGGCGCGTATGCATGTTTTCTTGTTTCTACACATATGCGAACGTTGTTTCGTAGGATGTGTGCAGCTAGCAGCTAACATAATGGACCACATCGGCGAGAATACAGATGAACGTATGCACGCATGCTGCATGGCACGACCCCTATCAATTGTATAGACCCACCCCCAAGAGGCAAACAACTGTGGGACATACTATAAGACCCTCAAACAGGTGCCAAGTGGCAGCACATTGGCGCAAGACAGGCCATGTCGGATCCAAAAAAGGCGCAGACGCACGGTCCTCTGCGGTCCTGCAATGAGTTGCGACTTTCCGGGTGCAAGATTTCAGTGCTCTTGTGCCAACAAAGGTTAGCGCATGTCGACGGCTTTTGAGTCCTACTATAACTACTACTCTAGGGATCTACACGAGGCGTATCTGACTGTACTTAGGGTCTGTATCAATTGGGGTGCCTTTTTGAAGCACCTTTTTCCGTCTGCCTAAGCCCATTCAAATTAAACGGCAAGCCATGTCCAGGGTTCAGGACTTACGCTTGAAGGCTTGCGGTATGGGCAGGGTGTTGGGACTGAAGGGTAGACCTTGTAGGGAATCTGGGTCTGCGAGTGAGGGGAAGACCTTCCGTTCTCAATGTGCATCCGGTAGCAAGCCCTCCTCCAGTTAGTAGCAGGAAGGAGTATTTTGAGACTCAAACTGGGCCTGGCCAGGCGCAGGAGGCGTACCTCAGATGACGGCAGGCTTTTGACGAATTCGGTCTTTGAGCGGGCTTCCATTTCGATGCTGGATCTATACAGAACACTGTATCTGCATCTGGAGGCTGACAACAAGCCGGTGCTTCTTTGCCAGCCTACTACTAACCCCAAATAAGTAGATTACGAGGAATCTCGCTCCTGATTGCGATGACATATTCCAGGAAAGGGAGTCCGAGCTTCGGCGAAATTTGGGAACCGCCGCCCGGTAGGATGACAACTAATAGGTGCCGACGGCACTAGTTGCCAGGTCGATACATGGTTGCCTTGTTCCACGAAAACGTTATAAAGATCCGCGCCAGGCAGCTTGACATCTTTAGCATGCAATGTTGATTTCGGGCTTTCGTGCGGCTGAGATCTTTCCTCCGATGGAACCTGCCTTTCCTCCTTCCTGAGGTCCTTCCCATGCTGATCCAGGGACGCTGCCATGGAGCCCAGCACCATCGCCGCCGCTGCCTATGCCAGTGAACAAAAACTGAACAGCTTGAGTCGAGTGCAGCACTGAAGTACATCTCCCGTAAACTGCATCTAAATGAATGATGTCTATGTTATGATATATATATATATGTATATATATATATATATCTGCGATGGTGTATATCCTCAGGAGCATCTCAACCCTTCAAGACCAGTTGGAGGCCCCCGTCCCTGCGGGCGAACCGTCCAGACAGCGCCGCTGCATCGCCGCCGCTCCACAGTGAGAAGGGGCTCGCGCACATTGACGTGCGATCGGCCAGACATCCGGAGACACCAGCCTTCGCGTGAAACGCATACATCTTGGAAGGAAGAGCACTTGGAGGATCATGGGACTTAGTAAGTAAGGTTATCCCTTAATTGGGGTTAAAAGTATAGTTATCCGAATTATAACCCTACTTACTACGTCCCATGATCCTTTAAGCAAGGACTTCGACTCTGCGGACTTGGGGCCCTGCCTGTCCCTCAGCGTGCTGATGACGCGACATTCACCTCTTTGGGATTGGGCGTAACATGAACACGGCCACAAAGCCAGTCTTCAATCGCACTGTCTGCCCACCTCGTGCTCCACCTCGAAGACCGCACAGCAGCTGCTGGTTTGGAACCAATTGTGGACTTGGTTCAGCAGCTCCACCCGCTGCTTGTTCACCTAACACAGGCACACCAGAAACAGATGAAGACTCAACCAATTAAGATTCGACGATGTGCGTCTTGCATGGTCCGGTTCGCCATATCGAGCGCCAACTCCAAAGCATCCAAAGCAAGACCTTGGTCAAGCTCAAAAAACACAACTCCAGCAAAATTCTTATATGCAGTCTGCAGTGCCGTCCATGATGTCCGCCGGGCGCAAGCAGATTCGACTTGAGAAACTGAAACCGCTTGCGGCATGTGGTCAGACTGGTCGCGATGACTGCTGCTCTGACCTCGACTTTACATTGCGCCTCCTCGGAGGGAGAAAAAGCTGCAGGTTGCAGCTTGTGTTTTTGCTGCTGGGCTTCGGGATAGGAGAGGATTAGGGATTGATGAAGGTCTCTGGTGTATTTAACCAGCATTTAGAGTCAGTAAGGGCTTGGGTCCGCTTGGGATTAAAGCGGTTCAGGTTTACATAAGCCCTCGATGTTGATTTGTCTTTGGATATCTTGTTCCGCATTGGATCCTATCCATACCATAGCCTTGCTTGAAATACATTGGAGGGTATGCACATAAATCTTTTGCAGCGTGGTAGTAGGTTCATGGCGACAACATCTTGGACGGCCTTCTAGACCACATGAAGTGATCTGATCCGCAGTCAAGGTTTAAGGGCTGTCAGAACGTGCCTGCATGTATATATGTATGTATGTATGTATGTATGTATGTATGTATGTATGTATGTATGTACGTATGTATGTATGTATGTATGTATGTAGGCCAATGCAGGTCAGTGTAGGTATGTGGGTATGTAGGTACAGTACGTATCTATGCTTGTGGGTGTACGTATGTATGTATGTTTGCTTGTTTGCACGGAGTAATATACAACCATACACCAATGTGTGCACATGCACAAATGTATATGAACATACAAACTTTCGAAACCTGCATAGCGCAGATGTGTACCCTGAACTCATACACCTACGACATGCTCCGTGAAGTCTTAAGTCTTAACGTAACCCGAAACCCTTCGCCCTGAATCAGCTTCAAGATTGAACCGCAAGAATTTGAGAACGCCACGCCCTGGGCAGACTCCCCAGTTCAGAGTTTGGCTATCTTCCGTTTCGGGCCTGAGGGTTGCGGGCTCACAGGTCTTTCCAGGACGGATTCTACCAGCGTTCCATAGGGCTTTGGGGGTATTAAGGATTGTCTAGGGGTTCGGTAAAGGGATATCCTTGCAAACCCTGCGCAGTTTAGACTCTTTTGTTGTCACGCTGGCCGAGAAGAACACGTGCTAGCCTGAGATGTCAAGATGTTGAATCGTGGGTCCCATCCATTGCGCATTTTGCTTAAATGATTTTCACAAGTATGAGACGGAAGGATGTAGGTATGCAAGGACCCTGCGACCCCAACCGCGTATCTCTAGATGTCTGTGCAAGGGTGGCTTTGTGGGCCTCAGCGAGATCTTCGCATGGCCAAGCAGGATACAGGGAGTTCTTGGGAGTGGCACAGGACTTTGTTTATAACGGCTTCAGTTATGGTGCTCTTGGAAAGGGGTCCGCAAACTCGGGGTCCGCATTTTGAGGGGCCGACTACTCGGGCTCGTCGGTTTCAAAGGCCACCAATTTCTATTGAGCCATGCTTCGATTCCCACGCCCGAAGTCCGAACACTACCAACGGATCATGGAGGCAACTCTTCATCTCGGCTGGTCATGGCGACGGCATGTATGGCATGTATGTTACACGAAGCCATCACACTTCGGGCACTCACCGAAGCTGAAAACGTTGCAAGTGTCTGGCGACTGAAAATCTCACCTCGAGCAATATGCCCTTGAACCCTCTGTGGCCAGTGACGGCCTACCGCGAGTCGTCTGCGGATTGCGAGTCGTCGCGATCCTTAGTGCTCTTTCATACCCAACTTGATGCGCGCCGATGGCGATGAAGACGACACTGGGTCACTGGGGGCTAGTCGTTGATGATGAGAGTGGTAGTGCTGAAGTTGACAGCACACCGTCGTGACGATGATGACGATGAACATGTTGAGGGTAATGAAGATGTTGATGCTGATGATTACATTACGTGCTCAACATAGCTAAACAGTTGTGGTGATGATAAGGACCATCATCATCATCATCATCATCATCATTATGGTGCTGCCGTGATGCCAATGGAGAAAAGATGCTGAACGCTATGACGATGGTGATGATGGGTCTGATTCTGATGATGGCTGGCTGTTGCACCTGATTTCTGGCCCTTGCTTTCTGGACAGCTCTTGCCGGCTCTCTTGCTTCTGCCAACGGTTGTTGCTGTTGGTGGTGTTGTTGCCATCTTTCTATGTCCAACCAATCTCCGAACAGCCTCCGCACGAAGCCCTGAACCAACAACCCAGGATGAGGTCCTGAACGCAAGATTTTGCTGGTGCTTCTGAAGGAAGGCTTCGATCAACCACCTCTCATCCATAGTCAACCTTCCCGGAAATGCGTGAAACACTTTCTGTGCGCTTCATTCTTGCCTGGGGTCGTTGTCTCTTCGGTTTCCTCCTCGCCCACCTTGGGAGACATGTTGTGGCTGTGCGGGCTGTCCTCCGTGTGCTGACGTTTAGATACATCGGCGCTAGGAAGTAGCTTGGCACTCTTGCACTCTTTGATTGATCCGCTTCATAGACCCGCAACAAACCCTTAAAGCCAAACCCAGCTCAAACTCAACAAATTGCTTCGGTCCGGACCGGACCCGACCGGTGGAATGCGAGGACAAGATCAAGAGCAATAGGGCTCTCAGTGTTCCAGTTTTGTGCGGCTTTCATGGACATTGCTACCTGGCTTGGGCTTCAGGGGTTCAGGGTTTGGGGGCTCCACAAATCTAGAGCTCACAAGAAGCAAGCTGAACAAAGAGGAGTCCTTTCCTAATCGCTCAAGCCGCATTCTAAACTCTAAATCCTACATCCTGGACATCAGATGCCGAAACTCTACACTTTAAACCCATAGAACAGAAAGCGTCTACGTTCGAACCTGACGGCCCCCAAAGCCCAGCCTAATTTGCTTGATCATCGGAATGTGGCTTTGAGGTACACTATAGTACAATTATGTAGGGAGGATAAGGGGAAAGGTTTACTGATTATTCCCCCAAACCCTGTAGATCACACTGTAGCCTCGTAGGAACCCCTAAAGTAACCCTTCTTCTTGAGGATTACTGTAATACAAATAACCCTAAAGTGTCAGAATCCTATGTGGGTAGTTCTCAAAATTAGGGTCCCTCTTAAGGCCCTATTTTACAAGGGTGCCGCACTGTATTGGGCGACCTAGAAAGGGGCCCTCTTTAGAGAACTACCCATCTAGCACCCCTACAGAAACCCCATAGAAACCCATACAGACCCCTGTATAGGGAACCCTGAAACCCTATAGAAACCCATATAGACCCCTGTTTAGGGAACCCCAAAGGGGACCCTAAAATATCAGGCTCGCAAAGGCCGCTCCATGCGCCTCGGGGGCCATTGCCCGTGCGGGACTCGATGGAACGCAGGAAGCCCATGACCTTCGAGGTGATTTAGGCTTAGGGTAAGTTTGGGGTTTAGGGTTTAGGGTAAGTTTGGGGTTTAGAGTCAAGACTTATTAGGGTGAGAACTGAGGGGAATGTATTTTCTCAAAACATACACGGCAGCGATAGCTAGAGTTCTATACAATCAACCTGCGTGTGCTAGAACTCATTTGGGTTCTGATAGACACTCTTCATGACGACAACAATGCAGCTTCCACCGGAGTTGCGCGGATAACGAAGACAACAGCACCTACTCGGATGGAAGAAAAGAGCACAAAAAGGCTAAACATAGGGTTCAGCGCTTAGGGTTTCGGGCTCAGTGGGCAAAAAGCGGTCAGGGCGAAGGGCCAGTAACATGCGCGAGTCCTGTCCATGATGTCTCCGAAAAGGACTTGGTCGCACTCCTCCACGCACTTGCATCCGAATACGGTCCTTACCCTAACCGCCGAGCTCGCGGCGAGAGCGGAATAGTCATCTTCGCCCTGCAGACTCTACACTCAAGCTAGCTCTCAGAAACTTTCAGATCGTCTTATGCTTGAAGCAGGATAAGAGTCTTCGCAGCTTTCGGCACCTGTAAAGATGTCTGAAGTCAGTGGCGGCTCCAGGTACCCGTATGGCTCGTCCTAGCTGCAATGTGGGAACAGAGTAACCGGTCATATTGTGAACCCTCTCAACTTCTGCCTCTCTGCGCGGCCGGAAGTCTGCCAGGATGGTCGCCTCAGTTTACGACTGCATGGTTGCTTTTCGGGTTGAGGCTCTGAGGCTTTTGGGTTTAGTGGAAGAGCCATTCAGCTGTAACCCCTCACCCCAGAATCCCCACAAACAGGACAACAACGAAACCCACAAAACCCCCCAATGACCTGAAACCCCGACCTATCCCCTGATAGACAACTGAACCCTCTCCCTCCCCCCAGATAGTAGTTTCCCCTGATCGGACCTATGCCCTTGCACCTTCAACCACTGCAACACAAACTATACCATCACGCAACTATGCTAGACCGTAGCTAAACCATCATACAACTATGCTGTAGAGTGTCTAGACCACAAATATACTAATATCCTACAATAACATAAACATACTCGTAATGTGGTATACAACATTATAG